ATAGTAAAACACAGCACAACTCGAACATTTTCTACACTCGAATATTGTTCCTAATACACTAATTTACAAGTACAGTACCGCTAATACACTACAATAGTCAGGTAATTGTTTTGAGGAATGAGTTTTAAGCTCTTCCCCGTTTGGGACGATGACCGAATACGAGCAACGATTCAATTTTAAGTTAAAATTCTTCAAATTCTTTCCCTTTTTTCATACGTAATGACATTTTTCAACGTCCTTCGATTCCCTTTTGTAGTAAGGGACAAGAGTGTAACGACAGTAGGAAGTGACGGATGTAATATAGATAATTAAGGCCCCTATCGAAGGGCCTAATCGTTGTAAATTACCATTACTTTTGCTAGTTTTTATACACCAGAAAAGAAATTCCCAACACCGAAATCTCTCTTATTAAAATTCAAATTTCCTTTGTGATTTACGCATTGTGCACTTTTTTTTTTTTTTTTATAAATTTAAATTTTGCCCAATAACTTTCGACCGAAAACAATGTCGACCGCCTACACCTATCTAATCTTACACCTTTGTTAAAAACTTCCACCGAGAGAGAGGCACAATACTTTTATTATATGGAAGAAAATTTACATTTTAACTTTGTTTACGCTTAAAACAATATTTAAAACCCTCTCTGCCCCCCCGTACGAATTTACGCTGTATTTTCTGCGCGTGTGAGTGTGTGTGTGTGTGTTTATGGGGGGGGGTCGATCGGTGTGACGTGGAGACACGAGCTCTTCCTTTCATTCCGTATTCAATATTTTTCCTAAGCGCACCATTGTAATGCCGATGTAGCATTTTTTGTATTTTTGAAATTTTGTGTTTGAAATTGTTACTGTTCATAATCGCGGAGGAGGTAGAATGACGTATTTTGTAACGGGAATATCCCGCTCTTCCCCCATCCCCCCATGTTCGCCGTTGGTGTAGGAAGGGGGGGCGAAAGAGAGAGAGAGACTTCCACGATGGAATCTGCCCGCTAAGCCGGGCGGAATTGCTTTGGTATTTTTTGCCGATGAATCTAGAACGAAAATTTCCATTTCTCCAGCGACGAGACCAAAAAACCCGACCCCTGGCTCCCGACTAGGGCCATTTTCGCCCCCATCCATCGTAATATAAGCCGATCGGTAGTTTAAAATGGCGCCTTAGCCGGCCTTAATGGCGGACGGGGTCTTTGTTTCGCTCCATCCTCCGGTTCGTGGGTCTTTATCCTCCTAATCTCGTGTAATTATCCGAGATTAGGGGATAAAATACGAGACGCGATATTGTCTTTGGTATTGGCCTACCGCCCGAGATTTCCGGATTCCATCGTCGATCTTTGATTGTAACCGGACCTCGTTTACTTTCCTCCCCCTCCAATTGATTCCAAACTCGATATTCTCTCGGCCGATAATTTATATTTCAGGATGTATAAATCATTAAACTTAATTTATGTTTCCTGTGTAAATCGTAGGCCCTATATATTTAGAAATGCCCGCTTACGTGGGCATAATACAAACGCTCCCACCGACTGTATTCGCTCGGTTACCTCCGTTGGCCTGTAAAAAAATGCCTTTAAAATGGATACTTCTAAGCCAACTCGTATTCGTAAACAGGCCCCGTCACAGAGAAGCTGCGGGGCCTGCTCACTTACCAGGCCTCACAAACTTATGCTTTCATCATATTTTAATAACTAGTCAATTGTCTATACTACTTACAATTCACAAATTTCCAACCGGATCATCGTTAGAACAAATACTAAGGCCTCTTAAGAAGTCGTCACTTATCTTTTGAGGCCTCCGATATAATTTCTGTTATCCAGGCCCTTGCGACAGGGCTTGGTATTAAGTACAGTACCTCCATTTGTAAGTACTGTACACTGTTGATAATTCCGTTTTATATGAATTCCATGTTGTACGAGTCACTTAGATTTTACAAATAAGCGTGCCGGGCTGTGAACGGCTCACGTATTTGTAAAATCTAAGTGACTCGTACAACATGGAATTCATATAAAACGGAATTATCAACAGTGTTATAGGGGGGGTCGACTGTAAATAGATGAACTAATGGAGGTTTATTTACACGAGTTGAGCTGAAGAAATGTGAGAATCTCCCGTAACGAGGCATACATTTGTGCAATTCCGCAGATTACTTCAATTATTATTAATTGCGGGGCATTAATATAGCTTTACTGTTTACATTTCTGTTCTATTTATTTGTCTAAAGAGGCAAACTTTTCTTAGTCGAACGTTTATTTTTTCTTACCACTCGCCATCATTTATTTATTCAAAAAGTCTTAACACTACATTCCATACGCCGCGTGTAGGTGGCCTCAGTTAACGATTCGCACCATCTACCGGTCGTATGCGGAACTATTTTAAATCTCGACTGGAATTCCCGTGTTTATTGCTTAAAACACAGTAAAAAAAAATGATGAGCGCCATCTTTAAATTACAACACAGATAAATCTTTTTCTTAACGACTTTAACGGGCCCTTTACCGGGGCCCACGGGTCAAGGTTGTCTTCGGGAAGTCGAGGATTTTAATGGCAAAAAATGTGAACTTTTTGTATATTGTATTCGACAATTTGATGCTGTAAACTCATGCAGAAGCGAATTATACCATAAATTACTCGGGGTAATTAGACAAGACGAAAATAGACACAGCATCGAGAAAATGAGTAATCGAGCAGATGGTAAATCATTCCTTAAAGGAAATTACTTCTGCCGATTCTAAATACTCCCCTAAACATAATATATATGTAATAAAGTATGGTGGCAAAGTGCAACAATCACCCGGCACACTGTTAGTGCCTTTGTAAATCATTAGAGAACGAGGGGGGGGGAAATGTCTTCGGCTTTCATTAACGTTAAAGTATAATGTCCATTCCTTTTTTTGGGCCCCCCCCCTTTTTCTTCCGTCGAGAGTTTCGCGCGTGCCTCTTAATTGTTACGAATTAAAATGCGTAACAACGGAACGTGCGTAATTGAATCGATTTGAAGAAAGGATCCTGGTGTTTTAATGATGATTTATCACACTCGTCTTACAGAAAAATCTTCTATTTAAAGAATTTCCCGTGTTAATTTTAGTGTTTAAACACTTGTTACGTAAAGCGATAGAAGTAAATAAGGATTATGTAACACACAAAAAAAAAAAACAGTTGGAATTTCTCCGAGTGTATTCAACTCCGATTACTTTGAACCATTGTCATAATACTTAGTTGAATTGTATTGTTTAAATTCCTTGTATTTAATTACAGTCTACTGGATAACAATAGATTTAAAATTCATTAATTGGTTTCCAGTGTATTTAAAAGGGTGTATTTAACCATTATTTGTTATAGAATAATTTTGTTGGAGTCACCCATTATTTATCTACCTAATACCGAGAAAGTCTAACTTCTTTAGTGACGAACTATTGTTTATCTACAGTGTTTACCGTTGTATATAATCCATTTAATGCCAGTGAATATGGATTGTGTGTAAAGTGGATACCGTCGCTGGCTCTTGAAGGTCCTATCGTAGAATATCGAAGCACGCGAACTGGTGGGAAGTACCGTCGGAAAAATTACATCAGCAAACACTTTTCTTTTTTTTTTAATCCCCCTCTCCCACACTATCGTCAGAAATTAAATTAACCCCCTCCCCTAATTGGACAGTAAACCGTTTGGCACCACCTCTTCGGGAAGGCTTCTTAACATCATATTAAAACGTGTCATCAAAGTCCCCCCATTGTCGAATGTAAACGAATCCCTTCCCATAAACTACCGACGTAATAATTACTGGAATGGTCCACAAACAGAGGAATTCACCACACTCCCATTTTTTCCAGCAAAGAATTTAATTCATCTTAATTTCCTCACTTCCATTGTTTAGAGCTTTCTTGTATGAGGTACCCTTCACAAATTTCTTGTGTCTTATCGAAAGACGTATTGTAATATTTCTCCTTCTTAATCTCGCCAAACTTCAATTGCGGATAATACTCCCAAACAAATCATTGGATTGTCCTCGTGCCCAACGACGTCTTTATGCAAATCAGCCGCATTTTCGGCCGATCTCTTCTCTCCAACTGTTACTTAAGCGCGCGTGTTGCGTACTTACGCACTCTTAAACTTTCCAGTTGCTCTGTAGCACATCTCAAACACTCGAACACTCGGTTGTAGTGTCATCTATACAATTAGAAATCCTCAATCTTCGCACGCGGGGGTCTTTCGAGGTCCGAGCCTCTCGTTAATTGCAATGTTGATGGTGAATCGAGACACCTGCGACTCGTCACCTCTCTCGCGTTACGCCACCGGATGCTATCGATTATCGACGTCTTCGAACGAATAATTGAAAGCGGTTGTTTGTATTTCTGGTCCTTACCCTAGTCCGGGGTCCTCTCGTCCGACCGCTTCCATAATATATGAACCCAGGGAATGAATTGTGGCAACTCCATATTTTATTGTTTCCACGTTCTCGTAAAGGGCGTAGTATTAACCTCCCCGTTTTCTAGTGTGCGTAGGCCCGTCACTTGATTCGGCACGCGGATTTCTCTTATAAGGAGGTGATGATTTGCCTGTAAAGATACAATATCCGGTTCACATCGTCCCGGATCCGTCGGAGCGGCGGGACACACCTTTGCACATTTCCGTTTATTTGCATAATTTCTTGTCTTCTATTCCGCTTGGCTATTGGTTCGATTTGTTTCCGTCGGTCGACATAAATGTCAAATTCGAATCGACGCGTAAACACGCCCTTTTTCCGGTGAAATGACGTCGCGACTCGCCTACGTCACGCCTTAACGTTCGGCCATTTTCGTTCGCAACTGCTACCGGAAAATGGTGTGTCGGGCCCCCTCTTTCGCCCCCACCCTCGTAGGGCCCACCTACCACGAGCATAAATGTGGCGTGTATTAGTTAATCGAAGAAATCAGAAGTTACGGGGGGGAAACGTTGGAAAAAGTCCGCGAATTAGAATAAAATACGTTTCTGGTCGTGACAAAATAACGTTGACTTATTATTATTTTCTTTTCAGTCACTGGACGGCTTTGCCTTCGTGTTAGCATCGGATGCACGATTTTTGTACGTGTCCGAGACGGTGTCTATTTATCTAGGACTGTCACAGGTCAGTTATTATTTACGTGTTGGCAATTACGTTGACCGCGAACGGAGATTCTCGCCCTTGACCGTTGTCCATTTACGGAAGGTCTCGACTTGAAAAATTAAAATAATTATGGTCGAACCTCTGTAACTCGACCAATGTCGGGAACGTAAAAAGTGGACGTTGTTTACAGGTTATTTTGCATGCGTTTTAAAATAAATAATGGCCTCTGTGTGCAGTGGCGATGACCGTTACTGGAGGTTCGACTGTGGTACAAAATGATGCCGAATTTTGGAATCCGCGCTGACGGTTCTTTCGGGTTCTGTGCCGGATAACCCCCAAAACGATCTACAATCCGTGATGCAAATCTCGTCTACAATTTCGTAACTCGTGTACATTGAATTAAACGGATGTAATTGCTGGTTGCAACCAGTTTGAAAATGAATCTCTTCGTGTCTAATCTTATTTTATAAGGGAAACTTTAAATAACGGAACGTTTCTTGCAGGTCGAGATGACCGGAAGTAACGTCTTCGACTACGTCCATCACCAAGATCACGCGGAAATGGCGGAACAAATGGGCATCAGCCTATCGCAGGCTTCCACTTCTCCCTCTTCTACCACATCCGACGATGGATCTTCCGTTACGGGAGGGCCTTCGACGCCCACCGGTCCCGACAGACCAGGTAAATTCCTTTTTTTCTGGTTCCATTTAACTTAATAAATGACAATAATGCATCAGAGAACACGGCAACAAACACAGCAATCCTCTGTATCACTACCAAACTGTGTTCCGCAAAACCCGGGATTTCTGCAGCGGCGCGTTATCCTATAGACTGAAATGACAATTGCCAGGGTCCCTCGAACCAATCTTTTATAAACTCATTACTGTGGTAAGACTATTAAAATTTAATTTGGGCAATCCGGATCCCCAGATATTGCCCAAATTTTAAATTTGCCCACAACGCGCCACCAGATTTCTGCAGCACGTTTTCGAGGGTTCTGCCAGCAGATTTTTAATATTCTGAAGAACTCTGATGTGTCGATAAGCGGCGTTTCGGGAACAGGAAAGTTGTTCTTTCTCATGTCATTCATCCATTCGCAAGTTAGACACGTGAATGACGTGGGAAATCTATTCTTTATGCTTCCATTGTGATTTGCCTACAGTCACAAATAAAAAGATATTATTAAATTCCTATATTTATGAAGTATTTAGAGCTTTAGACTCACTCAGCATAATGATACAGGATGTGTCAAAGGTCCCTAAAAACAGCGTGGTCTCCAAATTACCCGGATCTCGCTTCCTTTATTTTTATTTGCGGGGGACACTCGAAAATATGCGGGCATTCCGAAAGAATACGTGTGATTCGTACGCGTACGTAACACTAGAAGTTGTTAACGCGTGTAACCTGAGATTTAGGTATAGGCCTACGCGACACTTGGGCGATCTACCAAAGGTTGATTTAGGTTTGGAATTCCCTACGGGAAATTGGCCAATGTTTAGGTTTTATAAAGGTAAAGAAAACCCGGAAAACGCCACGTGGATAGGCGCGAACGTGCGACAACTACGCGTTCTGCGGTTTTATCCACACGGCCACTGGTGGCACATTTTCCTTCTGTGGGAGGAATGCTCGTTATATTTGTATTTATAAGTGGAACTAGGACTTATCCACTAACGATTCTGTACAGAACACAAGGCAATTGAAGATACCTTTGGAACAGATGGGAAGATATTTAATTTATTTACTCGTGTGGAAGAAGGACGGAGAGAAAAATCTCTCAACAGCGATCGAATGACAAACGAGGAAGTGGAAGAAAGTGTAAACATATTATCGAGAGTAAAAGAAAAAAAAAACATGGGTCGCGGTGTTCGGTCACGTTTGCAGATCTGATGAAGTGACAAGAAAGGCGCTCCAGGGAATTAAACAATGGATAAAGACAAAGAAGTAGACGCGCGATTACATGGATTGACAAGATTAAAAGTTGGCCGGAATCTCCATTCGTCGAGTAGTCTGGTGGATCCGCAGACGGAAATGGCCCGAGGGGATTGACCAAAATTGTATACTAGATTTTTACCCGATGATTCGAATGGAAATGACGTCTGATAAAATTACGGACAGACGTCCAAACGTTCTCTTTTTCTTTTTATATATAATATTTCATATATAAAAGTTACTTTCGGCCGGACATCTCGCTTAAAACGGTAGAGGATGCTCGTTTAATACGATCTGATTTAGCGTTTTGCTGCCCTCTTATATCTTAATAACATAAAAAATGACAGCCGAAGTGAAGCTTTACCCTACCTACGTACGGGATCGGGTTCGAATCAGGACTAGCAAATTTCTAGAACTTTCCATTGGTGGTCTGTCTGGATATCTCGTTCCCGTTGTGGGCCCGACCGAGTGAAGAAAATCCGACCAGCCCGCGAAACAGCGAAGGAACTATCAATGGCGAGTGGCAGTAATGCATCTCATAGTCTACTGCCGAGCCCATTGTGGGTTTGGCCGGGCCCACAACGGGGCGGGCGAGGGACGAGGCCAACCTATCTCGGGGACGGACCGCCCCCTAAAAATTTCAAGAATAGAAAGTCCCCCGGGAGACATCCCTCTTCGGAGATCGCCCACGTGGCGCTTTGCCGTATACAAATAAACAAACAAACATAAAGTTTATATTGTTGCGTCACTTCCAATAATTGGGTCAGTAGGCCTGCTGTATTAATTGCAGCTTGGTGAGTCGTTGAAAGTACCACATCTTATGTTTTAAATGATAAAAATAAATACGTGTATAATAAAAACCACACGCAACTTCTTCAAAGCTTCGGGTTTGGTTCACGGTCAGGTGAGCCACCATTTTGATTTCAGGAATACTGTAAATCACAGGCGGGTGCACCCCCGTAAACAAGGCTTTTACAGCAGTGTTGCTCCTGCTGTTGCCTGTGTACAGTACATCTTTCGCGAAGTAGAGGATCCAGAAATCTTTAGAGAGGGTGCAGAATATAAATTTTTACTACCTGAGGTAACTTACCCGGCTTTAATCGGGGAAAATCCCCAGAACGGGGTGCAGCTACATCCTGCTCACCGCCCGTGCTTGAGGGTGTGGAGGCACACGCCGGTCATTTTTCGGAGAAACTAGGATTGGATCGGATTGATGGGATAAGGCAACGCAACACATACGAGGGAGTGTCTCTCGGGAGGACTATAATGGAAAACTGGTCCCTATTTAGGTATTAGACACGTGAAGAAAGCACGGAAAACTCCACGTGGCCGGCCTGTCGAAGGTTCGCGCCCGATCCGAAGGGTCAACGAGCCATACCGAAATTTACGATAACATATTCGAATATTATAGATATTACGAATCTCGTGGATCACTAGCGATTTACGAAAATCTAAAACTACTCGGTCTTGGTCCTGCATTAGGTACGATCCTATCTTTGCACAGTATCGAGAATAATAGGCCTACATCTGGAACACGCTTGTTTGTGTTAGATTTAGTAATACAGTACTAAATGCAACACAAGACCAGATGTTAAAAATTCGTAACTGAAGTGAACGTTAATTAAATGAGGAGTAACTTGGTAATGTTAAGTATTATATATACTGTATTCTACCCAGAGCCAGACTTGTGGCCCTTCACCACATGCAAGAGGCCCTAGGCAATATATATAAACTGTGTTTAAAAATAGAACGAGGCCTGGAGTTGTAGCTGGTAAATCTGACTATTATTCCATCTTGTTAATGTAAGAGGCCTGCCTACTTTTTGTATATGAGGAATATACAAAATATTTGTGGCCCATCTACCTGCGACTTACATGCAAGTTTAGGCACTGCCGAATATAATCAATAATATTTTATTATAAAATAGTTTACAGGAATGTTTTTTAAGTTAGTAATTAATTAATTATATACCGTGATACCGTAGCTTAATAATACCTTATTTTATGTACTTTTCAGCTCCCATAATGACGTTGAATTCGAATAGCATGTACAAGGGTTTAGAAAGGGTATTTTGTATTCGAATGAAGTCGACTCTTACGAAAAGAGGTTGTCACTTCAAGTCGTCGGGATATAGAGTAAGTGGTTACCATAAAAATATATATTACTTTGGGTAATAATTTGTATAATTCTTTACTTCAACATATAAAGGCATTGTTTGAGCTGGTTTTCTTTTTTAAGTTTTTGCATAATTGTCTCTGTTGTTAGACATTTTGCCATTATGTGAATGGGTAACGGCATACGTAGTGGACATATGTCTTTATTTATGTTTTCCATCAATAACTTTACTGTTATGGTAATGGCATAGTAACAAAAGCAGTTTTATTTATGAAATGTACTCCCATAAATGGGTATTAAAGAATTTTATTTTAAATTATTATTATTAGGATTTGAAAATAGATTGCATGTCCATTGTTAAATAGATCTTGACAAAGAAAACTTTCCGGCATGAAAATCGAGTATATTTCTATTGATACATCTGACAGAATAAATGGTAAGTTGGGTACACATTCTATATAAAGATAAATCACATCTGATTCAGTGATATTTATTTAATGATGTATTATGCAGAATGAATCAAGTTTTTGTGCCAAATGATAAAAGGCCTGGTTATAAGGATAAAATTGAAGGCTCGTTTCTTTTTAAGGGACCAAACGAGAAACAAATCCCGTCAATAAATAGGACACTCACCGTTGAGTTGTATTATTTAGTATAGTATCGTGCTTCTCAACCGCCCATCTGAATATTGGGCTGTCTGTCCATCTTGCCTTGCAGACATTTTATCCAGGTGGCCATGTAGGAAGCCACCTGGATGAAATGTTTGCCATTCAATATATCCATCAGATGATTGCAATAATTTAGCCAATTACATCATACTATAATGTATGGTACTATACCATATCTGAAACATAACTTAAGAATCACAATTTATGAGGATTTAATGGTAGATAAAATAAATGAATGAAGCTATGGTTATACATCTCTGATTATTATAATCAATGCCAAAGATGTCTGTATAACCAGAGCTAGTCATTAATGGTATCTGCCATCAAACCTCTCAACCTGCTGTATAAACAACAAGTTGCTAGTGTTTGTTGTATATTGTAAGATAAAAAATAAAATAATTTACGACTTGTCAGTGGATAATCCCTGGGTGGGCACAAAAAAATTAAAATTAATTTGTTCAAATTTGAAAGCATTTCATAAATATTTAAGATGGCAAATGTAGTTTATCAGGCCGTCTGCAATATGATTGTATTGCAAGTGTTAATAAAAGATACTTATTAATTATTCAAATATTTTAAATTTTTGAATTAGATCTCATTTGGGTACATCTGGATCCATTACTTTGATTTGCCAGCCATTTTTCCTTTTCTAGCCAGATAATACATGTAATGTAAGTTGAGAGGTATATATCTGAGATAAACGAGAGAATACACTTTATTTAACATGTACAAACAGTAGAAGAATCAATCGCATATACAAGGTCTGTTCAAAAAGTATCGGACCTTTTTTTTTTCCGCGTAAACCAATGATGCGAGAGAGGCCTCCTTCGGTGGAGTTGTGGAGGGGACAGTCATGCCCAGCCCTGAATTTTTTCCCGCCTGCAGGAAGCGTCAGTCGTTTGCAATCGGCCTATGAGTGAGGTCATGTAGTGCGCTCTCGTCGGACTTCACTAAGCTGGAAAATGACTGAACAACGTGAGCAGCGATATTACCAAAGGTTTTTGGCAAATTTTGCCAAAAACCTTGGCGATACCCGAGTGTAAACCATTCGCAAGATTCAGCAGGCTTTCGGGGACGATCCAAAAAAAGCGCGGCAGGTCCGCAGCAATCATCAAATATCAAAGGTCATGTTGACAGTTTTTTCGACTCTCGTGGGGTGGTGTATCGTGAATACGCACCACAAGGCCAAACCATCGCAAAGGAGTACTACCAGGAGGTCCTTCGTCGTCTTTCCGATACAGTGCGACGCAAACGACCAGATCTGTGGTCGATCAAAACTTGGCAGCTCCATCGTGATAACGCATCCGCCCATTCTGCGCATCTGATTCGGGCTTTCGTCGCCAAACACAATACTCCTGTGGTTCGTCACGCTCCGTACTCTCTCCACATGGCTCCGTGTGACCTTTGGCTATTTCTCAAGCTGAAAATGCCGCTAAAAGGAACCCAAATTTAGTCGAGAGAAGACATCATGCGAAATGCGACGGACCAGCTGATAACCATTCCAAAAGATGCGTTCCAGCAGTGTTTCCAGCAATGGCAGGAACACTGGAAGAAGTGTATACATTACCAAGGAGACTACTTTGAAGGGGATTAGGGTTTTGTATCTCAAAATCAATAAATTTATTTTTGCCGACCAAAGGTCCGATACTTTTTGAACAGACCTTGTACATTACTGAAATTAATGTACTTGAATTCCTAGATGCACACAACAACACATACAGTTGGTAAATGACTCATATACACTTCTGCAGCAGTATTGACAATTAAACACATTCTCGATGAAACTTAAGACTTTCTAAAATACAATATTCCAAAGCTTTAATTGATCTTCCAATATAAAACATTAAACATAATTGAGAGAATATTAATTCAATGAATTAGACATTCAAATTCATTGTATTCATGTTTTTTTTATAATTAATCTTTTGACAGTTTAATTGACTCTATACAGTTACATGAATCAATGTGGCCTTTTTCTTTTCATATTGCATGTAGTAAATTTATTTCCATAATTGTATTTTTAGACAGTATTCTTAATGGTAAAAATTTGATAAAATATGATATTGGTCTCATACAAATTTGCAATTTATCAAGAAAAACTTATGCATGTTAAACCATCAACAGATATTTTTTTTATATAAAATTGAAAAATTGAGCTACCATTTTCTTCATTGCATCGTTTTTAATCTACTTCCTAAATAACCTTTTCTTAGATATCAACTTAATTTTGGTATATTAATATTTTGTGTGAGATAAATTGGAGGAATATGGAAGATACAATTGAAATAGCTTGGATATATTTTGTTTCGGAATCCTAGCATCGACACAATACAAAATCTTAAATATAAATTGCTTAAAGCATTGAAGCACTGGGTCTAAAACTAGCATTCCTTAAAATTTCACTTGCTGTTTAAATCATATTGATTAATTTCGGTTTCATTTATAAACTTATGTTTAAAATTACTTAATATGAAAGACAAAAAGTTTTTGTTGGAACAATTGAAAACTTTTTATTACAAATAAAATACATTTTAAAAGTGCAGTATTAATTTTGAATCTAAATGAATTATTTCAATTACAACTGGTGTGTCTTTAGCTTCTTAGGTTTGATTCAATGGGTTTTTCTATTTTTTTTTTTTACTCTTCAGTCCTGTGGGTACTAACAGTGCCGGCCCGAGGCAAGTTTTAGGATGGAGCGAGATCCTATTATGGCGCCCCGTTGGTTGCCCCTAATTTATACCCTTTAATTTTCTTTACCACTGAGGCGCCCCTAGGACTTCGCGCCTGGAGCGGCTGCTCCGTTCGCCCTATGGTAGGGCCGGCTCTGGGTACTAAGAGGGTCTTTTTAGTGAGTCCATTATGGATTCATCCAGGCCCACAATGGGGTGGCCACGTGGTGAGGGATAGGACCCAACATATCTGGATGGACCACCCTGAAAAATTCCTGTGGTGATTCAACAGTTAATTAACTATGTTATGGTTCTTGGCTAAGTATATAACACAAATCTTCATTATCAGAATTGTCTTTTTAGTTTTAAAACAAACTAACCATTTTTTTTAGTAGTGAATATATGACATATATCAGATTTATATTTTGTAAAAAAATAAAATATAAATCTGAGAAATGAACAAGAACTTTTTGTATTAGTTGCTGTAGTAAGACAAATTCATTCCATTATTCTACATCAAAAGATGGTACATTTTCTGTATAGTAAAGTTTTACTTCCTTTTGCAGCTTGTATTAGATTTTTTATAACAATCCCCAAATTTTATATTAATGTACTGTACTTTCATTGTGTTAATATTGGTGTCACCACTGATTTGGGTAATGTCAATATGGAGCTGTCAAGAGCTTGTATGGGACCCAGGACAGACTGGGCCACTTTAGCCATATTTTTGTTCTTGTTCAAATGAAATACATAAAATGTTTTTGCTGGCAAGAGTATCATAGCATTCTCCCAAGAACATTCCAGATAGTGTTTAAGTCATCTTTATAGGAATAGTTTTATGTAGTCATATGTTGTCCATGTACAGTACTGTACCTATACTATGTGTTGATTAAACTCTTTTTTCTTGTAGCAGTTTCTTACTTTACCACATTACCATACTTAGCATAAACTACAACAGTTTCTTTATTAATAAAAAGCAGTCTTAAAACTTTTATTTTCTGTAATTAAACATAAAATTAATTTTTTAGGGGTAATCTGTCTTGACATGTCGGATCCTATCCCTTGAAACCCAGCCACCCCATCATAGACCTGGCCAAACCCACAATGGGTATAGGGCAAAAAGTCCCTTTTAATACCCAAAAGATGGAAAGAGTCAATTTATATATGAGAATATACTTGTAGAGAGGAACTGTTCTGTTACCTTGAAAGAAATCACTCTCATTACTATTAACTTCAATCTTATGCAAAAGTAACTTTGACAGAATATTCTTGATTCCTTTATTATCATTTTCATATTGTAACTTCTTTATTTGTTCTTATAATCCTACTTATTAATCATGTGAATAAATTGCCAGTTAGAAAATTTTGTGAAACTTTTTTAATCATTTCTTCAAGTCCATTTCAAGGTCTACAATGTCAAAGAAATGAGCTTTGCACCAGAATTATAAAATATAAAAAAGAAAACTTTATTACACTATAATTGCCAGTACTGGATTTTTCTGAATACAAAACAAAAGGTTATAATCTCAACAATAGTTAGGATAAAACTCAAATATAGATTTCAAATTCAGTATTTACAACAATGAAATTGATTACTAGCACAATTTACAAAATTACAATTATTCAAAATCTCAAACAATTAACCTGATTAGGGAGAATCTAGCAGAAGAAAATCTGTAATCA